GAACCTAAGGGGTTCTTCGGTCAACTCTCGCGTGGCTCGCACGTCAGAGCGCAGCGCCGTGGCGAGCCCGTCGGCGACGGATCTGTCGAGCCAGGGGGGCATGTCGAGCTCGCACGTGGTGGCTACACGAGATCGGGGCGATCCGATGGAGTGCAGTGCGATCCATCTTCCGAACTAGGATCGCCAAGGATCGGTTGGTGAGGAGCAACAGAATCCGCCGAGGTCCGGCGGATCCGGGTTTTGGTTCATAGGACCTACAAGAAACACTCATTCGGACCAGCGGGGCGGGATCTGGCCGGGACCTTGAGACCTTCTCCATGGGGTGTGGAGCCTTCAGGAGCGGCACAGCATTGATGATCTCATTTTCGAATCGCCTTTTGATGAGAAGGAAGGAGAGCCTTGGCGTCACGCTTGGGCATGAAAGATGTAATTATACATATATATATATATATATAAAAGCCCAGCTAAGAACGGGAGGGCAAGTTGGGAAGATCCTTTGGAGGCCAATTTTGTGTCCATGTTTGTGGGTGAAGCTTCAAAATGGCTGCACTGTGACTGTGACCAGCAACAACAAACACGTTCTTTGGGGCCCAATCACCTCGCCCTTCGTGTTCGAGTTCCAGGTGTCTCAATGGCGAATCATTGACATCAGCGGTCCCCAGTCGCCCATTGAATGAGGAGCCGGCCCGACGTCCCGGACTCGTCCCTTCCGCGGACTCGTCCAGGGCGGACGCTGCTTCCGCTCCGCTCCGCTCGGTGCCGACGGTCGGACCGATCGGAAGACCTCACATCAGACGAGTTGGGGTTTGGCAATGCAGATGTTCGATCTTCAGCATGGTTGACTCAGAACCGCCCCAAGAGGGCCCCAAGTTGTTGGCCCTTCTGGAAGCGGTTCGCTGATGGAAGACATCCAAGGTGACCTCCATAAATGAGAGTTCTTTCGTTGCCCCCATGGCCTCCAAATCGATAGCAGAGCAGAGTTCCCTTCAAGTATCTTAGGCAATATCAAGATATCTCCAGAATTGTGTCTTTTCATGATGAAAAAAGGCCTCCCAACAGAAGACACCAGGTCGCGGCCACAGCGGGAAACCGACCCCCGGTCTCTGTCTTCCTCAGGAGGAACCGCCCCGACGGCAGCGTGTCGTGGCACGAAGCGCTGCCGTGGCGTCGAAGGAAAAAGACGAAGCCGTCGCCGGTCGCCGTCGCCATGCTGTTGGGCCTCATGGGTGGTCTGAATACGACGTCGTCCGAACGAAAAGGCTGAGAAATAGGCCTTTCTTGGCGGCCGTGGGGCGAACAACATGAGGGTGGTGTTCTTGAGAGGTGTCAAAGCCAGTGGGTCAGTGGGTTGACTCACTCTAATCCTCGGGTTTGCTCAGTACAACAACTCCCCAGGTCCTGGAAATGGACAGAAACGGGGGGTGGGCAGGTGTTTTTCACTCTCTTCGCTCCTGTGGAAGAAACCATGACCAAAAACGAAACCTCTCATCCGCTGGTCGGTCACGCGTTGCGATCACATCATTGCGATTCACCGCAGGCGAGTGGCGCACCCAAGCTGTGCACCATTTGTCACTTCGAGGCCCAGAGGTGCGGCATTTCGAGTCGGAGAGGAGATGGAGTTCTCGGTGCGTGTCGAGGAGGTGATCCCATGTGGACTATTGATATATGTTGATAATATATATATATATATCCCCTTTAGAATATCCACTACAGAATGGATGGCCAGTATAAATCTGATTAAATCTGGATTTTAGGTACCTGGGAGGGGATGGGGCCTTTCAATTTGTAGACCTGTTATGGTTAATGCCCGGGGAATGTATACATAGAGTCTCGGCCACCGGCATTTTGTACCAGAAAATTTTGTCACATGTTCGAAGCACCCTGGGGAGTAGGTCAGTCATTTTGTAGTGAGGCCACTTGAGTAAAAAAAGCATTTTGTAGTAACCTGATGTTGGTAACATCATGTGAGATTTTGTAAAACTGGTTGGACATGGTTAGACCCATTTGGGCTCAGAGGGCGCAACATGAGATCAAGATTATCAAATAGAATGACGGTGCCCATCCTTTGGTTGTCAATTTTGGCAGTCACCAGTGAGTGCACCACAAAATGCAAGACCAGGGTTTATAGTCTACCAATTTTGGAAAGCCTTAGGTTAGACCCTCCATTTTGTAGTGCACGTTTCCCTTTCTCTTTCGATGATCAATTTTTCTTAAGCCATTGCATTCTATAGTGAGTGTTCTCGGGCTCTTTGCATTTTATATTGCCAAACTCTGCCCCCCGCAAATCATTGCTACAAAATGGAATTCCATCGTCTCCATGGGTATTTGAAGGGGGATGTTGATATAGAAACCACGTACCTGGAAGGTCTATCAGATATTCTCAATAGATCTCAAATCTCAAGACGATTCTCCACCACTTTGGGGGGGGAGGTCGAGAATCAACCATCAAGATTACAATTACTCTCCCACTCACAAATTAACATGGAAGTGGATGGTACCCCCTGTTCATAAGAGCAAAATGGTCTTCCAGTGGCTTATGCCATCCACTTGTTGGTCCGAGTGTGCTTCGAAGTCCAACTCCGGGTCTCGTCCGCCAGTCGACCCCTCCGACTCGACCTGCGTGGGTTCTTCGCCACCCCCCAGTCAATTGGTCCAGCCATCGCAGTTTGGTCGAAGGAATGCTGTGCACATCTGGGCTCTCAGGTATTCAGGTTGAGTCTGAGATGATGGAGTGTCTCTACATAGTCGTCGCAGGGTTTTGCTTCACTTCTCCGAAAAGGCGGCATGGACCTCTGCGACAGCCCCACCTCCCATGTCGACGTCGACACCGCCGTGTGCGGCGCGAACGTCCTGCCGCCGAGGCCGGAGGTGTCCGCGCTGTGCGGCCACTTTGCGTGCAAGGTGCGAGCAGCGAGTCGCCCATGCCGACGACCACCCGACGCTCCATGCTAGACGGTGTAAAATAGGGTGCGGTGTAAAAGGTAGATCGTTGTTTGGGCGGTGTCAACAGATCTGAAAAACGTTGAGAAAATATCGCAACCGCAAATGTTTGCCCATGAAAAAGCATGAAAAGGATCAAGGTTTCACATGTTTTCACACTTATCCCAGCCAAATGCAGTCATATCTTGGAGGCCTGTTGGCGGGATTGGCTGCGGGAGAAGCTCGAGTGCCCGATTTGCAGGGCAAAGGCAGGCACATTGTGCGATGGTGGATGTTTGGAATGTTGAGAGGGAGCTGTTTCGTTCAGAAGACAATCTATGGATGCCCTAGCCTTCCCAAGACCGCAACAAAAACGGTTCAGCTGGTTTTGCGGTGTAAAGTCCTTTGTAAATGAATGGCAGTTGGAATGCTAGAGAATGGTGTTGGGAGCTTGTCATCCCTACTTGCCACCGGGTTCTCCCAAGGTTTGCACCCTTCCAAATCGACGAGTGAATGCATCCAGACGAGCTCATCCACCCTGCGAAGTAGACGGAGAAGTCCAGACCCTCAAATCCGGTTCGGAGGGACCTGTCGGCCTGTGAACGGAGCGTTTGGGCATATCCTGTTCACCTTTGTTCAGACGTTTCTTGTACACGCAGCTATCATGTGGATCAGAATAAGCTTCACTTGTGCATACTTGTGCCCCTATTTCAGATTAATAGGCAGTTTTGTCAACGACTTATATTACCCACTGAGCGGAATGTTTGACAGCGATTCCGATCAGGTGCGCGAACAGAACCTGATTGAATTGAAGGGATGGGAAAATTGTTGAAAAAAGATGGAATTTAAATGTGTATAATATATAGATTTTATACAATATGTTTGTATATGTTTGATATGATTAGTGAATCAAGCATTTCACAAATTGTTATATGTATGAATATGTGTAATGATCCGCTGTGCTCGATAATAGCGGTCTTTGCGGGCCTTGTGGTCTCAAATTAAATCAGGGAAGAAGGTCAATCGTTGGACACTCGGTGCGACACCAAATGGCTCGGAAGGAAGGCAGGTGTGGCCGCTACATGCAGAGTGACTTCTTGTAGAAGTGCAGCTAAATAGGCGATAGCACGGGCTCCGTTCGTGTAGTAGCTCACCTTAGTAGTCGCTTGCAAACACATGTGGTGATCATATGTGATATGTGATCTCATGTGTCCTTCATCTGAAGCTGAAATTGTTTGTGTACACTCCGACTCACAAACATGGGAGTGGAGCATGGGCTTTTGTTTAACACCATGTTCTTCTACGAAATTTGGGGTGCTCCACTTCCATGTGATGTGATCGTCGGAGAATCATTGCTTGTCACTGGCTCGTTCCCTTCCGGCTTGTCATTTGACGATGACCCACCTGGCGACATTTGTGTGGATTGAGGTTGGACTTTGGGTTGTCAAGAGCTAATCAGAGCTTTATTGTAGCAGTGACCTACCCTAAGGGCCAAAAGAAAACCGACTGGGACCCTCCAAACCATTTTGGAAACCCCTTACGTCCTTCCTGTTCCGGTTCACTCCTTTCCAGCAGAGGTTATGGCCCCACCAAGGCAGTCACCGAGGAAAGCGGCAGTTTGTGGCCACTTACGTACGTGGTTTCCTGCGGAGCATTCGGACGTCCCCCAGTGGGACGGACGGGGGACTACCCCGGTCGGACGGGCGAAGGTCCAAGATGCGATGCAAGTTGGATCAAGTTGGTCACATGTGGGGCGGAGGGGCCATGTCCCACACAGATGTTGATGTGGCGTTGCTGGGTTTTTCGCCTGAACTTGCTTAAAATGGCAGACATGTCTTGGTCCAATCGGTCATACCGCCACCTCTTTAAAAAAAAAAAAAAAAAACATGCACGCAAGCCTGGAAGCGTTGGCTTTGGGAGATCTTAGGAGCACAGCAACAAAACCGGAAGATGCGGTGGTAGAGGAACCCAAGCTCAGCCTTAATCATCTGAATCTTTGTCACCACCACGGTTCAATACAGTGGCTGTTCTTTCAACATACCTTTTTGAGCCGGGCTCTTGAATAAAATCAATGTCAGCCACTGATCTGAATCCACAGATTCCTCGCTTCACGTCGCACCTACCATGGCTGTGACACAGCTTGGGCGATGCTTGCAGTGGTTTTGTGCAGCAGCTTGTGCAGCAGCATGCCTGGTGTGGTTCTCCTTTTTGTATGCCAACTGGCCAGTGGTTGCCTGGGATGATGTTCGGTGACATTCGTTTTGCGTTTGTTTTGCCTTTAGATTTCCTGTTTGCAGATGGTTCCGTACACAAACATGGACGAAAGACCCAGATCCACGACAGACAGTCCGCAGGTTCTCTCAGATGATGCTCACGTTTGCCCCGATGGGTCTACCCTTGGAGCTATTGAGACGTGTATCAACTACACAAGTATTGAAGGCGGTCCTTCTGCTTATGGTGCTTGCTTTGCGGGAAACATCAAGTTTCCCTGCGGCTGTGTGGATGGCTTCACCCCATACACAACGAAGTTCTATTTGTGGAGTGACTACGTTCATTTTAGGTGTTGCTCAGGCCGGCGAACACAAACTTTGTCTTCATCATCGGCAGACATGAGGTTTTTGCAAGAACATGCAAGAACAAAACCATCAGCCCAACCGGCAAAATATAAGATCCAAAATGGTTGTATAGTTTTGAATTGACAAGATGTTGTTTGCTCTAAGTTGCTTAAGTCTATGCAAGATGGGTCAATGTGTGTATAGGAAGAAAGCCATGAATGGGACATGCATGTTTTAGGGAGTCGAGCAGCAGGATTGTTAGGAAATCTTTGTGTTCCTGAACAACATACTACTAGCGATGGCCTCCAACCTACTAGCGACGGCCTCCAACCTAACATACTTATTGTTGCTTTTCATTGCCCGGAATGCTACAATTCACATTATAATGGGGACTCAACCATGCGGCCGCATTCAAGCATGTGAACTAGGCGGGGATGGAACCAGCGCACAGTGCGGGGATCTTGCTCACAAAGATGTTACTGGTGGGGTCCTGCTTGGTGCTGGCTTAGTTGCTTGGGTGTGCTTGAGATCATGTTCATTCTAATATATGGGATGGGTCAAAGCCTGGAGCCCTGGTCTATCACGTAGCTTGACCTCCCAGGTAGGTCAACCAAGGTATCCTGGTTTTGACCCACAGCCATATGGATTGTTTGGAATTCTTTCTGTGATTCTTCTCTGCGACCCTCCAACAAAATGATCAAAATGTAAGGTTGGCTTCAGTGTTTGCACCTATTTTCTTCGCAGCTCCTCCACCAGAATACCACTGCTCACTGCGGATGACAAGTTCGTTGAGAATCCTCGGAGCCAACTAGATGGACCCAAGCTTCACCAGATGGTGGAGATGCAAAAGTGGGGTGTGACCAAGGACGACTTGCATCAGTTCCGAAGGCTGGTGATGAACGCCATCCTCGAGCAGCGCATCTTACCCACCGAGCGGGACCCGTTTGATCCAAATGACTTCACCAAAGGACCTTCGATGTACACTGTGAATGAGCAGTATATCAAGCCAGTGACCCATCAAGCTGGTGATGCAAGTTGGTCTCTCATGAAGCATCCTGAAGGGATGGAGGTGAACCTGTTCATCACTCATGGCTGGGCAGAAGGGATCTTTGAGTTTGTGGACAAGGTCATCAGCTCGTGGCCAAGTAGAGCAACGGCGGCCTACGTGTGTTTTCTGTCACCTGAATTTGTGAGGAATTGTTTGAACCCTACGGCTCCAAGTACCTTCCAAGAAAGTGGGACTGGGGTGGGTTTAGAGATGTTTAGAGGGTCCAAAACCCTTCGGAGGCACGACTGGAGCTCGAGGGAATTATGAAAGCCTAAGTTACGAAAGCCAGCCTTCGTAGAAGGCGCTAGCGGAGTTGTGTTTGGCGAACGAAGTGAGTAGTTAGGGGGTCTGGGGGGGTGGCCCGGGAAAGGTACACGTAAACTCGGCACATGCTGGGGGAGGAGGGTGCGTCGAGGGAAGGTTTTTTGAGGTTGTGTTGGAGGTGATTTTTGAGGGGTGGTGATGCAAGAAATGCAACCTGCATCATTTGAATCATCTGAATGGAAAGGTGTAGTTGGCACCTTGCCAGGTATAGAGACCCAGTGTAGCTATAGTGCAGCTACCAGGTATGGTACTTCAAGTTCCCTTTCCGTCAACCGCTCGATAACCTTTACACACGCACAGCAATCCACAGCTTTGAAGTCTCATTCGTGCTTTGAACTTGTATAGATGTGTAAGAGGTATAGCAACATAGTATTTATACGGACCCAGGGTAGCTACAATTCTGTTCCCGGTATGGCGCGCATGAGGCTTCAAAGCTGTGGTTTTCAAGCTAAATT